CAACGTAATAAGAGGCAAGACATGTCGCTTTCGTTTCCTGGAACGACTGCGGCGCATCATCCACAGAGATATGCCAGCAAATAATAAAAGGTGCATACACAGACGATAAATTATTGAATGCTCTGTTTAAATATAATTGGAGGATATCCAATTTGTGACGAATAATTGATGCTTTGGTGCCCACTCGAATTATATACGAAATTAAATATGTCTAAGCTTTTCATCTGTGCCGCTCATCTCAGAGATACGAAATTTTGAGTGGTTTATAAATGTCGCCGACGTTGCTTTTTATTTATCAGATGAAGCTATGTAATCGGATCTAATTCCGGCAGCAGCAGAACAATAACTTCATGAGACGATCTATACGAAAATAAAGAAACTGGATGCCTTCCTGATTTTGTTCGAAAATACTATGTTTCTAGAATTACGTGATTCCTATTTTCAATGATAAATAAAATGTATCTTAAACAATGTATTTCACTGTAGTCAAATTATTATAATTAATAATAATTATAATATAATTACAAATAGTATACTTCATTAGAGTCATCAGGGGCTACTACAATAAAACATATTGTTAACAATAACAAATTTCAGTGAGATATAAAATATGATATTAATTATTAGGTATTAAATCATCCATAAAGGACAAGGCTCGAACAATAAATTTCAATAATTTAGAAGGATTTTTAACGACACTTAATAGAATTGGATACTTCCATCGGTCACCATTAATTTTCAAAAAGTTAATTTTAAAATACTCAATCAATTTCCAAAATAAATTCACAAGAATCGTAGTGAGAAGTTCCAAGCTTGATCACGTGGTGTCTGTTCAAGATACCGAACAAAACTAAAAAATCCAAAGGGTCAGTCACGTACAGGTATTAATAGGAAGACAAATTTTTCGTGAAGACAATATGGCTGCCAGAAAATTACGAACAAAGGATAATGAGCACGTTATGTTAACCTGTACAGATAATGAGAATTGCTGACGTAAAACTTTAGTTGCGAGGTTACTTAGCCAATAAAGGGTACGCAGGGGGTTAAAGCGATCGCTGCATTGCCGGTAATTTTCTGCTAGAGGGCAGGAGTAGCGAGGCAACAAGATGGCGACTCGCTTGAGCAACGAAACAGTGAGACGGAAGGACATGTGAAACGGAAAATGCAAAGAAATGTCCGATCTTCTTTCCCCTCCAGCTTGGGGTGTACTTATGAACGGTATTTCTGTACCGTTTTAATATTATTACGCAGGCTGGAACTCGAAGGATAATCGAGTAGCAAGGCAAAGGCAACGAAACAAATAAAATTTCTTTTAATCTCGTCGTGAAATCTTTCCACCATAATATCTGGTCTCCGGGATCGGGACGGTTTGTGAGGATGATTAGTGGCCTTTGTGTACCTTAACTTCCGATTTTTATTCTATTTTTCATCCTGCTCGCCAAGCGATCATGAATGTAAATGGGTAAAAAATCAAGGGGATGAAGAACGTTGAGGATAACAAGTATTTGCTGTCGCGTTACGGTGTCTAGCTCCGTGACGTAATGGAACATTCCCATTACTCTCGATCTCGTTAAAATTGTATTGGAAATCGTTACACCCCGCTTACCCCGGTTATACGACGACAATGTTCTTTGTCATGAAATGTAATTCCTTATCGGATCCGTAAATCTTTAATCACGTGAAAATCCATTTTTACCCTGTTTACATTGGTTATTTCCCCTATTCCTTTTCCCTTTATAAAGACTATACTCAAAGGCTCGTTATTCCTTATCGATGAACGCGTTCTGCCTTTTATAGATGGAATATTTAGCGTTGAGGAGTGTACTCTTTATGTTTGTTTTGGCAGAATACCTCGTACGAGATATAGATATAATTTAATCAACCTTTGAGAGGAGGGGGGATTAGCAAATCCTCGACGTAGTTATCTGTTGTTTAATTAACGTCGGTTGTAGGAAAGTAAAGTACAATGCAGCTGAATAAAGTTCAAGCAAAATCGTACCAGAGATATGAAAACGTCATAACTGAGTTCATGTAATGCAAAAAGGTATCTGTAAAATTGGTGTAAATTAGAAATATTATAGTTTAATATATTTACTGATTTTGCGGATACCAAATTGGATTTGGTACATATTTCTGGAGTAACATGATATCTTTACACACTAAATGTCACTGAATTTGAAATAATTTCAAATTATGAAGTTTATTAAAGGACATGTAAAGTTCTGAAGTATAGAAACAGGTTTCCCATGGAATATACTACAAATCAAGAAAATCCAGTTACAGGTATCCATATATATTTCTACTTTTTACTTTCTTAAAAGAAAATCGAGTTTTCTATCACTGTTATGTAGTTACGGTAAGCCAATACGGCGATCATAGCGAATTGACAGTGGATAAATAAGAGAATCGGTAGGAAAGTTGGTCCAGACAAACGTGCAGTTCATGTTCTTTCCGATATCGAAACGCATCTAGCAACGCGAGTTTGCTTCCATTCCGGTGAGGTTGCCCCGTTTCTCCGGAAGTTCCGACTTTTCCGAATATTTACAGGCCACGTGTCGCGACACGAAATTGCGTAAACTTTTCAAATAAGCCAGACGATTGTGTAAACCATTCAAGGAAAAACGCAACCCACCGGAACCAGCTTTGCAGCAATAATCAGAAGCTCGTTGAAGATACTTTTTCTGAGGTGTATTTGACGTCCCTGAAATTAATTTAGGAAATTTTGCTTGCTGATTGAAGTCTGTATTATCGGATCGTTTTATTCGAATTTACTCCCGATAATAAATTTGTCTCGTGCTTGATGACGAATTTGGGAATGACAAATAGAGAAATGCGGTCACAGATATTAAATTTAAATTATGTACATTACCAAAGGAGATTATTAAGCAAATATTTGTACACATACAATGAAACTTATTTCAAGTATCATAGTTATGAAGAATTTCATAAAAATAAGAAAATAATATTTATACAACACAACGATTTTTAGTTTTACAACAATTTTGTTGTAATTTAAGGAACAAAGGTAGATAATTAAAAGGAAGAAAGGAGGAAAAGAAAATAGATGGACTGGGTACTCGTGGCCACGAATAGTGTAAAATGGTTTCTTATCAAAATTATGTTCAATCCCCTTTTAATTTATACAGTCTCATGCTTGCTGTTTATTTCGAATTACAGTGTAATACTCTCTGAATTGCACGAAAATTCTTCCAGTGATTATAAATGGCACTTCTACACCTCATATTTTTATATTCACCGCCAAAGATAGAGTTTCGTCACTTTATCACGCAAACAGTATTTTTTCTCTATAAACAATGAGTTATAAAGTGCAATTCTCTCTACACTTGCAAAAGCAGAAAACTCATTGAACTTTCATTCGCACGCTCGTGGCCCCGTGAAATCATCGTTCAACCTCAACGCGATCGACGCCATACGTCATGCCCACGCTGCCATTTATTTTCCTATAATCCGATTATTTTCCCGTTAACCGTGACGTTCGACGAAGAAAAAAATCACCGAGACTTCATAAAGAAGAGCGTTTCCTTTTTCTCTTTTCGTTACCAACGACCAGAAGCAATACTTAGTTTTCAAAGCTACATGGGACCAAGGGAGAACGCGCGCGTTTTCCCCTCCTTCCTTTTTCGTTAGCACGATCCTTTGATCTTTCAACGTCGCTGTTAGAGTTCCGGTCTATCAGCCGGTAGGCGCGCAAATGAGAAACTTTGGACTCCGTGAAATATTCAGAAACGCGTATCGCGGTAAATCTTTCTCCTCCACGAAATATTATTTATCGGGTCAAAATTATTTTTCAAATTACTTTTCCTTAGATTGCTTCTGTGACGCGGGCAAATCGAATGGGGCTTCTTTATCGAGATATTTCTCGCACGGAATTATGCCATCGTGCAAAACGATGAGTTTGTCGAACGTTCGAACGTTGTATTTGTTCACCACGTGATTGGATATTGTGTCGTACTTAATGTGTTTCCCTCGGTTCGCGGTAGATGGAGCTGGCAGCGGTGACAAAGGAATCTCGGGAGTAGTAATAATCTATGGCTGTCAATGTACGTAGCACCTGTTATTTATTGAATTTCTGTGTGTTAATTTAAGAATTCAAAAGACATATACGGACAGCATAGAAATACGGAGAAGTTGGTAAGATTTATTTTGTTTAATTGAGAATCTAGTACCGTCTTGCAATATCGAATACATCGAAATTTGTATTCTACTAATTTTAAATGGCTCAAAATACGAAATTATTTTTTAAGATTAAAATAAACTAAAAATACTGGCAATATTAATAATATCATTTAAACACGAATACTAATACATCTGATTCAATCAACCTAACCTCAAAGTAAATTCGAAAATTCAATGTTTCAATTACTCTTAATTATTGTTTAATTATCGAACCATACGTTGTCGAATGATATTCCAGATATTATTTTCGACACACGATTTTAGTCGTTTCATATCTTCGTCATTCTGACATAACGACGGTACACAACGGAAAGGAAAGAGTTCCAAATCGAGTTTCCATTAAGTGTTCAAATAATAAGAAATTTACAAATTTTCAGATATCGTGGGCTACCCTTCTATTATCGCCAGCTCCACGTCTTGTGTCGCAAGTTTGCGCAAACACCCGACAACAAAGAGTTTTCCTTCCATCTACTTCTTTTTGCAGGGGAAAGGGAGGACTCGTTGGTCTGTTTAGAAAATCAACTTTGCCGGTCGGTTTCGCAAAGGACGAGCAAGAAGTGGAGGCAGCGGGCAAAACGCGAAACGGTAGAACGGAATACGTATACCAGCCGGGCTTCGAGTAGAAGGAAAACTTTGAAATTTATCGACTTAATCGTTTCAGGGTAAGAAAACCGTCGGGGTGAAACGGGCTCGGCCACGAACTTCCTCGAACAAATTGGAACCGGTTGTTTTCCAACCGGTCGTGGGGCGGACGCAACACAGCCGTAGGTATAAATGTAAATGGGAGGCTAAGAAACGCTTACCCTTAATTTAGACAGGAGCGAGAAATCCGTGACCGCCTTGAGCGTCACTTTGCCAACGAAATGTTCTGCAACAGAGAACAAAGGAAAATCGTTAATCACATTGAATCTTGATGATAAACTAAGCTTCATAATTGATATTACTTTATGTCAATTTATAGTACTATAGTATCGTACCATACACCATCAGAAAAGACTATAGATTCCTTTATTTTAGGTTACATATAAATTAAACTGTAGTGGGAATTTTTGTTCATTATTACTTGGACTTTATTTACAAAACTCAAAAAAGAACACCATATTTGAGGCAATGTAAACTTGATTAAGCCTTTTTTCAAAAACTTAGAAGGTCCTTTAACTTTTTTAGAATTAGATAGAGTAGTTACTGCATATTCCAGTTGCTACTGAACACAAAGGGTCATAGTCTCACACTAGTCTCTATTAAGAATGAAGACTCATAATTCCAGCATCATGTTAAATGGAATCACATAATTAGTAATTCTCTCAGCATATCGAGCTACAATTCGAATCGACGTTGACCAATTTTGAGCTCCTTCGCAACCCCAGAGTTAGTCCAGTCAAAATCTCTACAACTGCCCGGCACTGAATCCAAGAATGGAACAGAGAATCTATCGACTCACACGTTTCTCATTATAGCATCTAAAAAGGACAACTGTTTACCAGCCAGTCGATTCTCAAATAACACCGATCAACTGTAATACCCTCGCAACTTTCAAGTCGTCCCGCAACAAGTTGACTCCGCTAAGAAGATCAGCGACCTCACGCAGACCCACTTACCACCCAGGACAAGAATTTTTATTCCGGATGCCGCGTAAATAATTCATTGAGGACAAGGAAGGATACCCGCGTGTTCGTGGATACGTCCACACGAAACCGGGACAAAGGAGAGCTTTTTCCCCGGCTGGTTATGAGAGACGAGGAACAGAGAGTGGAACGAGACCGAGGAACGTTAGCGATACGCGGGGCATTCTGTGTTGCACGGTTTGGCAAACAGTGAAACAAAAAACTTTCTATTAATGTGAACAAAGGGACCCGATCGGAATCTATTCGCGAGTTATGCGTCGAGTAAGCCGCTTTTCGCGGCGGCCGCTTTCAATTTAGCGTCCTGCGCCGAATATTCGCGAGCAAACCGCGACAACGTTCAATTTACTCCCGCGAAGCATGCGAACTATCACATCGCACTGTCGTTCGTTGTGATGGGTGTGGTTCGTGGTTCGATATCAATGTTACTGCACGATAACAGCGATTCGCTGATGCGAAGAGTCGTGCTAACTACGATACTACACTAGAAGCCAGGTATAAGCTGGTGCTGTAAGACTTTGGGTAAGCCCTAGGCCAATTCCGATTGAAAGTTTTATTCCGATGTTTCACAGGTAGGCAATCCTTCAGGCAGTGTATTTGAAATCAGTTCTGCGATTAGTACAAAGCAGGCCATATTCTGAGTACTGCATAGAACCAAAGGGATGATCCCTAGAAGTTATATGGGTTTGATTTGGTGTAATTTCGATTATTAAGTAAGTTAAGATTAACACTACATTTATTACGACCTGTAAAATAATTGAGAGATTGAAAAATTGATTATACTAATATTAGAACTATTTGGACCCTGGTGGGTTTAATGTTGAGATCATCAGGAGTCCCCTAAAATCAGCATATATCAGAAAGAAAGTTATGTAGGGTAAGAAGAATCTTCTTTTCCTAATTCTGCACCGTACTTTTTCACTGTGATAGGAAGGGTCTATAATTCAGGTAATTTTTAAAAAATAAGGCAGGAAAATTCCTGGAAAAATGGACCTCTTTGGATCGTCGTTCTTTCGCCACGTTAGACTGTGGTCGTATATCAGAGAAAGCCCGACGGCGTTAACTACTTTAACGCACGGTTCGTAACGCGAAATCGGTGACACATCGAGTCGTATTCACGAACAGAGGCGGTGATCGGGAGAATCGTTTGTCTTGGGAACTGGAACGGAACCACGGCACCGCGAAACTTCAGGTGAGCGAAACTCCACACCGCCCTCTGCGAGTCACGGCGGTGACGATAAGAAAATCGAGACCCGGTAGAGGGAGCTCCTTTTTCTCTGCTCGAACTTCGTGGCTAGGAGATTTATTTAGCTGCTAAGGTTGGTGAGTGCTACCTCTTGCCATAGATTAATTCTGTGGGATAAATCTTCGACTGTTGGTTCGAGTGTTGTGTGTACTCGCGTGTTAAAAGGGTCGGTTACTTATTGTCAGGAAATCTTATACGTAACAGTCGATTCTGTAAATATTCGTTTATAGGGATATAATAGGGGTGCAATCACTTTTCATGTACTTTATTTTATTTACTTACTTTTGACAGAATAAATGAATTTGTTGTAGAAAAATTAGAAAGGCGTAGAAATTTCAGAAAAATTCTAAGAAAAGGGCGTGTTTAGTGTCAAATACTAATATCTTTTTAACTGTCACTTTTTCTCAATTTCAATACATTCTTGAAGATACAGAAAAAAAGGGGAATGTATACGACGAAAATAACAAAATTCAGGACGGATTTAGGTATGAAGCAAGAGATAAGTATTTTAAAATTGTACTATAAAATGTACAAGACTCTGCTATAAAATGAATGCACTTTGGTTTTAAAATTGCAACAGAATGGAAAGAGAAATAGATTATACCAGTCACAGGAAATCAACAAGTTACCGAGGCGACAGCAGGGGATGAGAGATAAAGGTTAAAGAGTTTATAAAGATTAAAGGTGGAACAATGGAGGACCCCTATCTTTGATCTTAATTTAGCTAAAGTGAATTTTAAACACGTTATATGATGACACCTGCATTTAATCCCTGTTTCAATCAGCGATATGGTTAATGGCTGAACATTTTCAGTTTATGAGCTCTGGTTCTTTGCATATAAAGTGTGCAATGTTATTGACGTGATTTAAAAGATCGAAATTCTTGTTTTGTATTGTTTCGTATTTAAAGTGAAAATGGTAAATTCATATACATGCAACGAAATATTTGTATCAAAAATACAAAGAGAAATGTCATAAAATACACTCGTGTAAATTCCTTTTATGAGATTACATGGTTAATTGTTTGGGACAAATTAATACAACAGGAATTACACGTTTTGATAAAAAAAATTCAATATGAAAAAATCTGTAGATAGCAGAGAATTTCCAAAACATTTAATATTTGGCGAAATATTCGTTCCCTTTATTTGTCGAATTTCTTTTCAAATTGCAGATTAACGTATAAATAAATGAAATTCCATCCAGTAATAAAAAATCAAACAATGAGTACAATCTGTAAATGGTTGAAAATATTTATTTTAAGAATGAATAATTATTACTAATAAAAACAAAATTATGTTAATTGAAACAAGCAAATTACATCAACAAAATTATGCAAATTACAAGAAATAAATGATCGTAATTAAAAAAATAAAAATCAAATTACACTATTTACATCAACTATAAAAGAATGATGATGAAAAGTAACTCGGCTCGAATTTCAAGGAAAGTTCTAAAATTTATTACCACCAACTCGTAGAAATTACCATTAAGGTCAAGAACGCCGAATACGACCCGTTTCAGTTTCACAACCAAAGATCTACCAGAATTCCTAAAGCAGCCGGATATGCAATAGGAGAATCGTGGTTATTGCCTAAAGTCATAATAAAGTGCTTCCACTTTCACAGCCGCATTAATTGAATACGTTATCACGAATACCATCTGAGAGTTATCGATCGAGTCTGATTGGACGTGAGCTCGCAACGACTCGGGGTCTTTCGGTGATCCTGTCTTAGGGATCCTACCCCCACATCCTTACCCCCTTGTAATGAACCGTTTTTAAGGAACAGCGAGTATTCATTTATAAGGCGAAACGAAAGACTTGAGGAGACAGATTTTACGAGGGTAATCTAGTCGTGTTGCAGAACGGACGCACACTTACCGACTGAGGTGTTTAATTATTCCAAAGACGTACACATGGTTTACGTTAACCTTTCAGACACCCAAATTACTTCAGTCTTATTGCACACCGTTCGTGCCTTCAAATTAGGAAAGTGAGGCCATTTCTGTGAATATAAAATTTGTCCGTAATTCTACCCTTGCACTTTGAGAATTCTTTTCTTTGATTAACCAACATCCCTAACATAATTTCGTAGAATAATCCCACAAAGTCAACGATTTTGTTTCTAAATCAGAGATATTTTACAAATTTGTGAATTATTTGTACAGTGATCTTTTATTTTTCAATCTTTATTAACGAAAATAATATTGAAAAATAAACATCATAAATTATCAGTGTCTCCAATGAAGTGCCTAGGATTAAAATATTCCTATCCTAAGTGTCAAGTATTTTGATAAGAATATGATGATACGACAACCTGAATAATATTCTTAGCATAATATTTTCTATGTATCTATTCCTGTATGAAGTATAGCTATAGTAATCCGTGGATTCTCTAATTCCGAACTGCAATTTGTTTACTTTGACGCCTAACGTCGCCCCATCATGTACTATACATCCAATTATTTGGTTTCGAAGTAGATATGAAAGTATTTCTCAGAACGTTGGCTCACAATCTTAGGATTGTTTTCTCAATAGCTTCATGAAGGCCGAGTTAAAAGCAAACAAACTTTGGAACGTTCGGTATACAATCCACCAGGCTTCATGAAACCTTGACAACCATTCTTTCACCTATATGCAAGCGAAAGTGTCCGCGGCACGTCTGTCAAGCAGATGTCCCACGACATAAACATTCCACACAGATGCGCGTGCCTCATTTCGGCCTAAAGCAGCCACGGGGATTCCCGGCAATCCTTATTCCCACATGTTCTCACCCAACCATTGACTCGTCGAAATGGACCTTTTGTTTTAGGTCTAAGCGACCCTTGTCCACGCCAGCTTTTCTTAAACAGATTCTTCCCCTTGCTTTCTACTCTCATTTTGTTCCCAAGAATACACCCTCGTTTGTCTGTTCCGACCATCAGAATACGTTAGGCAGAGAAGGTAAAGCACCGAGATCTATTCCATTCAATCTGACCAACTTTCCAATCTGCATCTCG